ATATATATGGAAAGGGTTTAGGATAAGAGCTAGTCATTTTGAACACAGTACATGCCAGTAATTGTTACAAATGCTTGATACAGTAACATTTAATCTTTACCATACCCTATGAGGTAAGAAATACCATTATCCCCATTTTACATATGAGGAAATTCACTGTTGGCATCATTCTAGGTGATAACTGTTAGCTCCTTTCACCCACACATTTCTAATAGAGTTAGCTTGGTCACCATGATGAATGCCAGGCCAGCAGGGCAGACAGACAGCCAAGAGAGGGCAGCAATCCAACGAATGAGTTCTACTGTAAACACATCAGTATCTGCTCTTCTGGCTCTTTCAGTCTAGGGACTCCCAGGTATTGCCTATGCTCAGTTTGCGTAGGGAACTCTCTATTGCTCTAAATGAAGGCATATGTACATAGGACCTCAGTTTAAGGGACATTGAGTTTTCTGTGCTATTGAGGGTTAATTGTGCGTGTGTGTGTGTGTGTGTATTTCTTTGGATTTTTTTTCTCCTGCTTTTTCTCATCCCATGTTTGTTGAAGCCTATTTTACAAGAGGAAACATCTTTCTTAAATATATAAAAGCCAGTTATGTGGTTTTCTTCTGCTTAAACTTGGACATAATGTTCTCACATCCTTAATCCACCTTATTTGAAGCCACGTCAGTTCAGTTTGGCCTAGCCTTACCTTCCAAGTATACAACTTGTGGTGAATTTCCCAATTCTTTGGACATATTTGTGAGTTCATATTCTTTCATTTAGGGTACTTAGCCAGGGGCTGTGAGGTAGGGCCAGTAGTTGCAAACATATGAATCTGCAGTGTCAATATTGGTACTTCCAGATCAGTGATGGCAAACCTTTTAGAGATGCGTGCCAAACTGCAACCCAAAACCCACTTATTTATGACAAAGTGCCAATACTGCACTTAAACCTGGGTACTGGGGTTTTTCGTTTAGAAAAAACAACTCATACATTAACGTCTTCTGTCTTAAAAGTAAACACTGGTGCCATGGGTTTGCCACCACTGTTGTAGATGATAAAAAGTTAACATATATATTTTTAGCTGTTCACAAGATATGGTCATGTTCCATGACATATGCCAGTTTGGCTGAGACATGAAGTTGGGCTGTATCCTTCAAAGCTGGAAGTAGGGAGGTGGTAAGGCAAGGTGCCTAGCTGGTGGGGGACACTTGCCAGCTAACATTTTTATCTCAGCACAGCTTTTTTGTTCTCTGCTCATTATTGCCTGCACAATAACTGCCATGAAATAATTCAACAGAATAAACCAAAACTATGATTTTGATTTTGCATAAAACATATGCAAAAGAAATGCTGGTGATGGAAATGAAAAGTTTCAAGAAAATGTTAGTTCTTAGGGAGAAAAAAAAATAAGAGTAAGGAGCCAAACTTGGAAGATTCCAGCTCTGTTCCATGAATGACTTTCTATGTAATAGTGTGATCCCAAAGAGGCCCTAGCTTCTAGAATTGTGGGCCTTTTCCTATGGAGGCCATAGGGGATGGTTTGAGTCTCTCAGTTTATATACAAATCTGCACCTCATTGTAGGCCCCCTCACCCCTATTTCTCTATTATTTCCAAGAAGGGACTTCCATTCTCTCATTTTTCTGTGAAACTCCATAAGCCCAATGGCCAGCATGGT